GTCAAGACTCGTAGCAACATTGAGTGAATGAATGAGGGAACCCAGGACAAGAGCTCGGAGGACTTAGGGGGATGGATGGCAGAATTAGGGCTTGCAAGCCCTGAATTTTCAGGAGGAAACTCACCCCAGCCCAAACCCTCTCCCCACCCAATCCCGTGTGACCCAACCCAAGTCACACCAGTCCTTCATCTCTCCTAACTAAACTCAATCCAACAGCTGGGTGTGGGGGCCCACGCCTATAATCCCAGCACTTTGGGAGGCTGAGGTGGGGGAGGATGGCTTGAGACCAGGAGTTCAAGACCAGCCTGGGCAGCAGAGCAAGACCCCCATCTCTATTAAGAGAAAAATGACAGAGCCCAGGAGGTTGAGGCTGCAGTGAGTTGATTGCTTTACCACACTCTAGCTTGGGCAGCACAGCAAGACCCCAACTCTCAATATAAATAGGTGATAGATGATAGATAGATAGACAGACAGACAGACAGACAGATAGATAGATAGATAAATTTCAATCCAACAATGTCCATCAACCAGTGGATAGGAAAATGTGGTCTGCAGTGGCCTATTATTTGATGATAAAAAAGAATGAAGAACCACTGAATGCTGTAACATGAACCTGGAAGCCATGATACTGAGTAAAGGAAGCCAGCCACAGAGAGCCACACAGAGGATAAGTCCATCTATGTGAAATGCCCAGAACAGGCAAATTCACAGAGACAGAAAGCAGGTGGGTGGTTGCCTCCAACTGGGAGGCTGGGAAGAAGGAGGAATGCCCGCCAATGGATATAGGGCTTCCTTTGGGGTGATGAAAATATCCTGAAATTTACTGTAGCAATGGTTATACATGTCTGCAGATGTGCTGCAAACCACTTAATTATATACCTTAAATGGGTGAATTATATGGTATGTGAGTTATATCTCAGTATGTCTGTTTCTAAAACCCTCAATCCAACATCCAGCTCCCAATTCAAGTCACCCCAAACCCAACTCTCAACTGATCACATTTTTTTTTTTAATTGGAGTCTCACTCTGTCGCCCAGACTGGAGTGCAGTGGCCACTCCCGGCACCGCAGCCTCAACCTGTAGGGCTCCGGCGATCCTTCCGCCTCAGCCTTCCAAGTAGCTGGAACTACAGGCGTGAACTACCACGCCTGGCTAGTTTTTGATTCATTGTAGAGATGAGGGCTCACCAAGTTGCTCAGGCAGGTCTCGAACCCACGGGCTCGGGCAATCCACTCACCTCAGCCTCCCAAAGTGCTGGGATTACAGGCTGAGCCACCGAGCCCGGCCCTGATCACATCTTGACTCACCAGATTGCCAATCCCCACCCCTATTCACAGGAACCCCCACCTACTCCTACTTAGCTCATCCCCTCTGAAATCAACCTTCATTTAACTCAACCCGACAACCAGTTCCGACCTCTTAACCCACTCATCACCTCACCTTCCCCTCACCTCATCCCATCGTTAATCCACAACCACAATCTCACTCAACCCACTCAACCCAACCTCCAACTCATCTTCAACTCATTTTTGTCCTTACTTTTTTCTTGTTAAAAATAGAGACAGCCGGGCTCGGTGGCTCAGCCTGTCATCCCGCGCCTTTGGGAGCCTGAGGTGAGTGACTTGCCTGAGCCCGCGGGTTCGAGACCCGCCTGAGCAGCGAGACCTCATCTCTACAATAAATCAAAAAATCAGCCGGGTGTGGTAGCGCGCGCCTGTAATTCCGGCTACTTGGAAGGCTGAGGCGGAAGGATCGCCGGAGCCCAGCAGGTCGAGGCTGCGGTGGCCGGGAGCGGCCCCTGCACTCCAGTCTGGGCGACCGAGTGAGACTCCAACTCAAAAAAAAAAAAAATAGAGACAAGACCAGGCTTGGTGACTCAGCCTGTAATCCCAGCACTTTGGGAGGCCAAGGCGAGTGAATTGCCTAAACCTGCAGGTTCGAGACCCGCCCGGGCAACTCGGCGAGACCTTGTCTCTACAAGAAATCAAAAATTAGCTGGGCATGGTAGTGCGCGCCTGTAGTTCCAGCTACTCAGCAGGCTGAGGCGGAAGGATCGCCGGAGCCCAGCAGGTCGAGGCTGCGGTGGCCGGGAGCGGCCCCTGCACTCCAGTCTGGGCGACCGAGTGAGACTCCAACTCAAAAAAAAAAAAAATAGAGACAAGACCAGGCTTGGTGACTCAGCCTGTAATCCCAGCACTTTGGGAGGCCAAGGCGAGTGAATTGCCTAAACCTGCAGGTTCGAGACCCGCCCGGGCAACTCGGCGAGACCTTGTCTCTACAAGAAATCAAAAATTAGCTGGGCATGGTAGTGCGCGCCTGTAGTTCCAGCTACTCAGCAGGCTGAGGCGGAAGGATCGCCGGAGCCCAGCAGGTCGAGGCTGCGGTGGCCGGGAGCGGCCCCTGCACTCCAGTCTGGGCGACCGAGTGAGACTCCAACTCAAAAAAAAAAAAAATAGAGACAAGACCAGGCTTGGTGACTCAGCCTGTAATCCCAGCACTTTGGGAGGCCAAGGCGAGTGAATTGCCTAAACCTGCAGGTTCGAGACCCGCCCGGGCAACTCGGCGAGACCTTGTCTCTACAAGAAATCAAAAATTAGCTGGGCATGGTAGTGCGCGCCTGTAGTTCCAGCTACTCAGCAGGCTGAGGCGGAAGGATCGCCGGAGCCCAGCAGGTCGAGGCTGCGGTGGCCGGGAGCGGCCCCTGCACTCCAGTCTGGGCGACCGAGTGAGACTCCAACTCAAAAAAAAAAAAAATAGAGACAAGACCAGGCTTGGTGACTCAGCCTGTAATCCCAGCACTTTGGGAGGCCAAGGCGAGTGAATTGCCTAAACCTGCAGGTTCGAGACCCGCCCGGGCAACTCGGCGAGACCTTGTCTCTACAAGAAATCAAAAATTAGCTGGGCATGGTAGTGCGCGCCTGTAGTTCCAGCTACTCAGCAGGCTGAGGCGGAAGGATCGCCGGAGCCCAGCAGGTCGAGGCTGCGGTGGCCGGGAGCGGCCCCTGCACTCCAGTCTGGGCGACCGAGTGAGACTCCAACTCAAAAAAAAAAAAAATAGAGACAAGACCAGGCTTGGTGACTCAGCCTGTAATCCCAGCACTTTGGGAGGCCAAGGCGAGTGAATTGCCTAAACCTGCAGGTTCGAGACCCGCCCGGGCAACTCGGCGAGACCTTGTCTCTACAAGAAATCAAAAATTAGCTGGGCATGGTAGTGCGCGCCTGTAGTTCCAGCTACTCAGCAGGCTGAGGCGGAAGGATCGCCGGAGCCCAGCAGGTCGAGGCTGTGGTGGCCCGGGAGCATGCCACTGCACTCCAGTCTGGGCGACAGAGTGAGACTCCAACTAAAAAAAATAAAAAAAGAGACGAGGTCTCGCTCTATTACCCAGGCTAGTCTCGAGCTCCTGGGCTCAAGCGATTCTCCTGCCTTGGCCTCCCAAAGTGATGGGTTTGCAGGCATGAGCCACCACCTCAACTCCTCAACTCCTAAAACACAGCCTCTACCTCACCTCAACCCTCAACTCCTAACTCAATTCTTTCTACCCTCAACCCACCCAGACTTGCTACCCAGACCTCTAGGCATGTAACCTCGAACCACCAACTTTTCCCCTAGGAGGCTGGGTGAATAAACTGGCCCATGACCTCCAGTGAGGCCCATTATAATTGGACTCCCAAGACATGTTTAATTAATTAAGACAGATGGTAACAGGTATCTCAGGTGAGACAAGAACCAGATCCTAAGAGTGGCAAGGCCAGCACCAGATGAAAGACAGGAGACTGATCGCTTGAGGCCAGGAGTTCAAGACCAGCATGGGCAACATAGCAAGACCCCATCTTTATCAAAAATTTAAAAATTAGCAAGGTATGGTGATGCACGCCTGTAGTCCCAGCTACTCAGGAGGTTGAGGTGGGGGGATCTCTTGGACCCAGGAGTTGGAGGCTGCAGGGAGCTATGATTGCACCACTGCACTCCAGCCTGGGCAACCTAATGAAACCCTACAATTTATATTTCTAGAAATATATAAAAAATTAGCAGGGCATGGTGTTATGCCTGTAGCTCCAGCTACTTGGGAGGCTGAGGCAGGAGGATCGCTTGAGCCCAGTTTAAGGTTGCAGTGAGCTCTGATCTTGCCACAGCATTTCGGCCCAAACAATGGGGTCTCTAAACACAAAACAAAAAAGTAAGCAAATAAGTAAATAATTTAGAAGACAAAGACAGAAACACAGTTCATTGGTTTATTCTCAGACTTGAGATGCAAATTATGCCCTGTGGTCTGGGGCAGGGGCAGAGGCTGTGCTGGAACCTCTCTCCTCACACCCCAGCCTTCCCAAGGAGGAAGCAGATGAAATCTACAACCGAGGGAAACTTCCCTTCGAGTACAGACCCAGGTATAAATAGGACAGCACCATTAGGATCCTGATTTGTCCCGCCATCTTGGCAAGGTGACCCTGGGGAAAGGGGCAGGGAGAAGGGCAGGGAGTGTGCAGAGCTGGGGGAGGGGGTGGCGGAAGGAATGCACAGCTCAGTCCAGGGAAGTCCCACTTCCCTCTGTGGTCTGACTTCAGTCCCTTCACCATGAACCCACGTGGGAGGAGGAAGGTGCCAAGGGCCCCCACCTGGGGTCGGGAGACATCCAGTGCTTAACTCTGGGGTAGGTAGCACCAAAGGGCGTGGAGGGCACCGACCAGGGATGGGAGCAGCGTGTGGGCGTTTGTTCATCAGCTCTGAGTCAGAAGCTCATGGCATGGGGGTTGGGGTGTGGGGAGGGAGGGGAGGAAAGGCCAGGCTGTAGGGTGCCCCCTGGGGTTGGGTGGAGGCCAGACCCTGGGCAAAGGGAGCCTGGCCCCCCAGCACACTGGAAGGGAGAAGGAATAATCGACTGCATCGAGCGAAGTCACATCCCCCGGCTCCCCGGCTCCAGCGTCGCAGAAGATGATAAATACAGCGGCTTCGCAGCCTCAGCACCAAACTTGGCCCTCTGGGCCTGCCACCCCTGAGATGCTCAGCCGCTGAAGCATACGGGGCCCAGTTCAAACCCAAACTTCTGGTTGGCCTGGCCAAAGTCAGCGGCTGCCACGTCCCACAGGGGCAGGAAGCCGACCCGAGACGAGCTGAACTCCAGGAGGGTCCTGGACTGTCCCTTCCGGAGCTGACCATGGAAAGGCAGGGCGGTGAGTGCCAGCCGGGTGGCTGAGGTCCGTCTTCCCCACACCGCCCCCGTCCCCTTACCCGACAGCCGTCGTGGGGGACATGGACCGTGGCCGCTGTTGTCTGGTTGAAGGCCAATTCCTCCCTGTTGGTGCCCATGAAGCGGAGGGAGTGTCTGTGGTCGCCCGCAGCCTCATCCAGCCAGGCGGCCGAGTTCTGGCAGGAGTAGGTGAAGCTCTGTCGGGCTGTGGCACTTAGCAGCTTCAGGAAGGTCAGCTGGACCACGTTCACGGGGGACCCGTCGGCGTCCACGTAGGAGAACTGAGGGGCAGGGACCATGCAGGGACAAGGGGGCTTCATGAGCACCTACTCTTTTTTCTTTTTTTGAGTCTGAGTCTCACTCTGTCACCCAGGGTAGAGTACAGTGATGTGATCATAGCTCCCTGCGGCTTCCAACTCCTGGGCTCAAGTGATCCTCCCACCCCAGCCTCCCAAGTAGCTGGGACTACAGGCACGCACCACCATGCCTGGCCAATTTCTGATTTTTGTAGAGATGAGGTCTAGCTGGTCTGTACCTCCTGGGCTCGGTTGATCCTCCCACCTCAGCCTCCCAAAATGCTGAGATTACAGGAATGAGCCACCGTGTCCAGCTCCAGAGGCTTTCTTCTAACACAGAGACTGTCCCTCCCTCATTTAAACCCATTTCCTGGCTCCCTACTGCCCATAGGTCTTTCTTGGCCTAGTCCTCACCCACCTCCCTGCCTCTTCTACCACATTCTCCTTCAGACTCTCTGGGGCAGAGCAAGTGGCTTTTCTTTTCTTTTTTTTTAGTTGAAGTTTCACTCTGTCGCCCAGACTGGAGTGCAGTGGCATGCTCCCGGCCACCGCAGCCTCAACCTGCTGGGCTCCGGTGATCCTTCTGCCTCAGCCTTCCAGGTAGCTGGAACTACAGGCGTGTACTACCACGCCCGGCTAGTTTTTTTTATTTATTGTAGAGACGAGGTCTCGCCAAGTTGCCCAGGCAGGTCTCAAACCCGCGGACTCAGGCAATCCACTCGCCTAGGCCTCCCAAAGTGCTGGGATTACAGGCTGAGCCACCAAGCCCGAGCTCAAGTGGCTTTTCTTATTCAAATTCTCTTCTTGCCTCCAAGCCTTTGCCTTTGCTGTTCCCTCTGCCTGGAACGTTTGTCCCTGTCCTCCCTAACCTGCTAAGCCAGTGCATTCTTTAGGCTACAAGTGAGCCATGACCTCTTCCAGGAAGGTTTTCCAGTCCTTCCAGCACTGCCTCTGGGTTCCCATCATGCCCCAGTCTTCCCTCATCCCTGTACCATCGCTCTGAACAGCAACTATCTGCCAGTGACACATCAGAATCTGTCCCCTCCCTGCCCCCAGCCTGTGATCACCAGGGTGCAGGAGCCCATCTCAGTCCTCTGAACCCCTCCCCCAAGTCCCCATGCTGGTTCCCACCCATGCACATGCCACTCCTACCCCACCTTGGCAGACCCACCTTCTTCCCTCGACGGAATGTGCTGTACCAGCCTCCCGGCTTTTCCTTGGACCAGGAGGCCAGCTTCACCTGGGGGAGGAAGGGGGGTCTCTGCAGCAGAGGCCCTCAGTGCCACCCCGGCCCCTCTGCAATTAATCCCTTAGGCTGAGGGCTGCTGATAAAAGTGTCTCGGGCTGTGACCTCTGGCCATGGGAGTGGGTTCTGCCAGTGTTCCCCTCACACAATGGCTGATGGGAGCTGAGGTGTAAACACCCCAGCTCCCTCCCCCCCCCAGCACGACATCTGTCAGACACCTCACTGCACTGTCTCCCTGGGCTCCCCAGTCCAATTGAGCTCTGGGTTCCTAGTGGCACTGTTGTATTTTTTTATTTATTTCATTTTATTTTTGAGTTGGAGTCTCCCTCTATCTCCTAGGTTGGAGTGCAGTGGTGCAATCCTAGCTCACAGCAGCCTTGAAGTCCTGGGCTCAGGGGATCCTCCCACCTCAGCATCCTGAGTAGCTGGGACTACAGACATGCATCATCACACCCAGCTAACTTTTTAATTTTTTTGTAGAGACGAGGTCTCCCTAGGATGCCCAGGCTGATCTCATACTCCTGGCCTCAAGTGATCCTCAGGTCTTGGCCTCCCAAAATGCTGGGATTACAGGTGTGAGCTACTGCGCCCAGCCCCCCATGGTACCATTTTAATGCCACACCCCCTAGGTGCTGCCTTCCTGGCCACTCTATTTCCTGGCATCCCCTCTTCCATAAATGACTGGCACCCAGACCTTTGTCTCCGGGTCTGGGTCGGGTAGGCCAAACCAAGAAAGCGCCTCACTCCCCTTCCTGCCTCTCTTGAGGCCAGTGGAAGGGCAGCCAGGGATAAAGACGAGACCCTCACATGTTAACAACTCTTTAGAGTTTGATCCTGCCCTCCAGCCCCCACCTGGGGGGAGTCTGAGCTTGTCTAAATTCCCATGCCCTGGGCATCTGAGCTTCCACTTAACTAACCCAGGGGACAAATGACCACAAACACTGTGGCACACATGTGCATGTCCGACACTCACCAAGTGTTCTCCCTGGGGATAGAGGTTTCAGCAGAGCAACCCAGGTTTAGCACACGGTTCCTGGTATCTGCATCAGTATCTCAACTGTGCAGCCACCCTATGAAACAGCTACTTTCTTGCTTTCTTTTTTATTTTTATTTTTTTATTTGTTTTTGAGTTGGAGTCTCATTCTGTCACCCAGGCTGGAGTGTAGTGGCATGCTCATGGTCACCACAGCCTTGACCTGCTGGGCTCAGGTCATCCTTCTGCCTCAGCTTTCCAAGTAGCTGGAACTACAGGCGCATGCCACCACACCTGGCTTATTTTTTGATTTATTGTAGAGATGAGGGCTCGCCAAGTTGCCCAGGATGGTCTCGAACCCATGGGCTCAGGCAATCCTCTCACCTCCGCCTCCCAAAGTGATGGAATTATAGGTGTGAGTCACCATGCCCGGCCCTGAGACAGTTACTTTCTTGAGTTTCACTTTACAGATGGATAACATGAGATGACAGATCTGAATTCTGACCCAGCGGTCTGGGGTTCAGCATCTGTGATGCTGGCCCGTGGCCTTCAAGCCTGGTGCCTGGTGCAGGGAGGGTGAGGCTGGAGACTCCCTGATGGATAACCCCAGGATTCCTGGTGGCCTGTGGGGGTCTCACCTCCCTGCCCACAGCCTGGCGAACCCTGAAGCCATGGGACCTCTAGAATAGCAGGTCTGTAAGCAGTGTTGCTGGGTGGTTAAGGGTTGGGACTCTGAGGTCAGCCCACCTTAGACAATCTAATCACCACTCTGCCACAGTTCCCCCTCTGGGCCATGATGTCAGAACTGTGATAGCTGGTGGTGAGGACTCGATATGTTAATGTGGCCAAGTCTTTGGAAGAGGTCTGGCACACACATAAGCATTGTTTGAAAGTTTGTCACCATGACTGATTTTGTTAATTGTTCTCATCTGTCTTTCCATATGAGCAGAGAGTTTTTTCCTTCTCTCTCTCTCCCTCCCTCTTTGTCTTTTTTTTTTTTTTTTTTTTTTTTTTTGGTGTCAGGCTCTCACTCTGTTGCCCAGATTGGAGTGCAGTGGCCTGATCATGGCTCTCTGTATCCTTGGCCTCCTGGGATCAGGCAATCCTCCTATGTTGGCCTCCCAAGTAGCTGGGACTACAGACACAAGCCACCGGGCCTGGCGAAGTTTTTAGATTTTTTTGTAGAGACAAGGTCTCTCAGTGGTGCCCAGGCTGGTCTCCAACTCCTGGGCTCAGACATTCCTCCCACTTTGGCCTCCCAAAGTGCTGGGATTATGGGCCACTGTGCCCAGCCAAGATTTTTTTTTTTTTTGATTCTCTGACCCAGCACTTCAGACAGGACTTTGGCATACAGGAGGTGCTCAATAAATGTTGGTTGAAGGAAAGTTAAGATCCCAGACAAGGTCTGGGGTAGGCGGTGGGAGTAGCAGGAGACAGCCCTTCCTGGGGAGGTGATGGGAGGATCTGGGGCACTCACGGTCTCAAACTTCTTGTCGGGGTAGAGGCAGGTCTCTCCCCCCGCCGTGAAATTGCAAAACACCCTGAAGGAGTCCCGTGCGCAGCCCTGGTTGGGGTCAATCCAATACTCCCCTGCCGCAGAGGAAGGCAGGGCGAGTGAGCTGGGGCCGGACCCCACCTCCCCACCCTCTCTACTCCCCTACACCCCCTCCATTTCCCCACTTCCCTGCACCTCCTCACCCGCCCGGAAGGAGCGGCCCTCACCATCCGGCAGGTGCAGGTGGCTGCGGCGTAGCTCGTGGCACGTGAGGCCCGGGCGCTCGGCTGTGCCAGGAGGGTGCCTCAGCCGCTCCAACTCCCAGCTCAGCGACGCCAGCGAGGCCAGCACCTCCTCCAGGCCGCCCTCCAGGACTGCCAGCGAGCGCCGGCGCCTGCGCAGCCTGTGCAGCTCGGCGGGAGAACCCTGGGCGTGGGGGTGGGGACAGAGAAGAGGAGAGCCCGGTGCGGGAGGAAGAGATAGGGAGAAAGAGAGAGAGGCAGAGATGAAGACAGAGACACAGGGTCAGAGAGATGCAGATGGGCAAGATGAGAGACAGGGGCAGAGAAAGGAGAGACAGGCAGACAGAGAAGGGAAGGCTCAGATGGGGAGGCCAAAGCCATAAGAGCAGGACCAGCATCACATGTCAGGCAAGGAAAGGAGAGAAGGAGACGGAGACAGAGGGAAAGGGAGAGAGATGTGGAAGGGGAGAGAAAGAGAAGAAATAGCGAGAGGGAGACAGAGACAGGGAGACAGAGATAGAAAGAGAGACAGAGGGAGAGACAAAGAGGGAGACAGAGACAGGGAAAGAGATAGAGGGGGAGACAGAGACAGAGAGAGACAGGGAAAGACAGAGATAGACGGGGAGACAGAAGGAGACAGAAACAGGGGAGACAGACAGAGAGAGACAAAGACAGGGAGACAGAGACAGAGGGGGGACAGAGACAGAGGGAGACAGACAGAAGGAGAGACAGAGGGAAAGACAGAGATAGAGGGGGAGATGGAAGGAGACAGAAACAGAGGAGGGAGAGAGGGAAAGGTAGAGACACAGATGGGGGGAGAGAGACAGAGGAGAAATAGAGATAGGGAGGCAGAGACAGGTAGACAGAGACAGAGGGAAAGACAGATAGAGGGGGAGACGGGGAGAGATGGAAACAGAGGGGGAGAGAGAGACAGAAGAGGGGGAGAGGGAGAGACAGAGACAGAGACAGAGTGGGAGAGAGCAGGAAAAGACATCGACAGAGATGACATAAGGAAATGAGTGTGGAGAAAGCAGAGACAGGCAGGAAGAGACGGGGTGGGGGAAGACAGAGCCCCCAGGGCTGACCCCCGAGGCCCCCGCCCCAGCCCAGACCCTCCTCGGACCTGCCCACGCCGCCTGCATCCCCTGAGCGTCTGGGGTGTGCCTGGCTCTGGGTGGGCCCTGAGCACCCTCTGGGGACACCCCGGACATGGTCCCTGCCCTCCCCTGGGTCCAGGTGCCCAGCCCCCTCTCCTTGGGAAACTCACCGGGGGACCTGGGGGGCCCGCAGGTCCAGTGTCTCCACGGGGACCAAGGGACCCCTGTAGGGAAAAGTCACTTGGGTGACCTCTGCTATGGAGACCCCTCCCACCAACACACACAGACGCAAAGAACACACATACACAAGCGAACACACACACGCAAATGAACACACACACACACCCTGGGAGAGGACGGAGGAACATGCAGCTCTCAGCAATGAGTATAAGACACACACGCTCTTGTATGTCAGCATCTCTGAAATCAGCATCTTAGTGTCTCGGGCAAGTCTACTTTTTTTATGTTGGCAAGTTTACTATTTTCTTTCAAGGCCGTTAATAAGCTGGATAAGCGCTTGCTGAATGCACAGCTCGTGAGCAGACACGAGTGGATGTGGGGGATGTGCAGGAAGTGGGAGCCCGGGGAGCAGCGTGTACTCACCGGAGACCCCTTTGAGCCCTTCGGTCCCAGAGGGCCCTGTGGGACAGACAGGGAGAGCTGGGGTCCCGGCCTGGCCTGCCACGGTGACCCCATCCCACAAACACCCCCATACTCACCGCCACGCCTGGGGACCCAGGGGGGCCCAGAGAGCCGATGGGACCCCGGGGACCCTGGGGAAAGGACGTCGGGATCGGTGTTAGTGTGTGCAGGCTGGTTGCCCAGACACATCCCTCAGACGAGCTTCCAATCCCCAGAGGAAGCCCCCAAACCCTAGACAAGCTTCCGATTTCCCCAGGAGAGACTCCCAGCCCCAGGCACAGCCTCCAACCTGCAAGTCCCCAGACAGCTCCCGTTTCCCCGGATACCACCCCCATGAATCCAGACCTCACCCTCAGTGTCCTGACAGCCCCCCACTTTGAACACATTTTTCCCACTCAGGGCAGGACACACTCACAGGGTCTCCCTTAGGGCCAGGGGGGCCCTGCACGCCTGGCAAGCCCCGGTCCCCTTTCTCTCCAGCCTCCCCAGGAGGCCCAATGAGCCCGATGAGTCCAATGTGGCCCTAGAGGACAAAAGATTTTTTTTTTAATGCAGGGGAGGGAGCGGGAGGAGACTGGGAGGCTTTTCTCCCAGAGCCATGGGGTGATAAGTCAAGGGCATCCTGTCCCTCAGGCCAGGGAGGGAGAGGAGGATGGGGGGAAGGATTGGTGGGGGGAAGGATTGGTGGGGAGAATAATGGAGCGAGGTGTCCTCACCTTTTCTCCCTTGAGGCCGGCATCTCCCCTCAGTCCTGGGAGGCCAGAGGGTCCCTGGGAGGAAGGAAACAAGCGTCAGTCAGGGACTGTCAGATGTGAAGTCTCAGGGTCCATGTGGGGGGGTGGTCAAATGGGAAATTGCCCAAATTGCAAGTGGAATGACCAGGGGTGTGGCCAAGGGCAGGGTCAGGAGACAGGAGGGATGATGAGGGACTGGCTGAAGGTCGGCCAGTGGCCAGATTGGTGTGTGCGGTCAGTGTAGACGATCAAGAGGAAGGGTCAGCGCAGCGAGTGTAGACCAAGATGGAGGGTCAGTGTGGTCAGTGTAGACCATCAAGACAAGGGGTCAACATGGAGTGTGTAGACCATGGAAATGGAAGGTCGGCATGGTCAGTGTAGACCATGGAGATGGAGGGTTAGTGTGGTCAGTGTAGACCATCAAGACAAGGGGTCAGCATGGAGAGTGTAGACCATCGAGATGGAGGGTCAGTGTGGTCAGTGTAGACCATCAAGACAAGGGGTCAGCATGGAGAGTGCAGACCATCAAGATGGAGGGTCAGTGTGGTCAGTGTAGACCATCAAGGCAAAAGAGCAGATGGCCACTAGAGACAGTCGGTGTGGACAGATGGAGGGTCAGTGGGGGTCAGCCTGCGCCCTCAGCACCCATGGTCACTACTTGGTCCCTGGACGGCCAGAGTGGTCCTCAGAGCTGGGACCTCGAGGACAAAGAAGTCTCTTACCAGGGGGCCAGGAGGGCCCATCTGTCCAGGGGGTCCCAAGAGGCCTGGTTCACCCTGAGGGACAAACAGAACATGGGGTGGACTGCATCCCGCCAGAGCCCGATGAGCCGCCCCCCAACCCACAGGGCAGCTCCCCCACGTATGGAAGGACAAGCCGAGCACGAGGTAGGCCCGGATCCACCCTGCCCCGTCCTTACTCCACTCACCACAGGGCCAGGGATCCCTCGAAGACCCTCAGGGCCCACGCGCCCGGGAGGCCCACGGGCCCCCACAGGGCCCATCCTCCCTGGAGGCCCGTCAGGACCCGGCTCCCCCTGAGACGGACAGAGGCAAGGGCGGGGCCGGGGTCAGAGGGCGCCTGCCTCCTGATTCCCCGGGAACCATGGGGGGAGGGGCTTCTGCCTGTCAAGGACCCACCCCTCCTGATGGCCAGTCTGTGGGCCCAGGGACCCCTCCGG